TACGATAGACGGCGGGAGTTCAATATATCCCGGTATTAATAGTATATAATTTCAGACGTATCTTAATGACTTAAATCGGCACCTAAATTCCCCGATTGCCAAATGCAGTCAATAAATATTTATGATATTGATTTATATGAAAACATAATTTGCAATCGAGGAACCAATTTATTCTTCTTCCATTATTCATCGATCCGTATATGTATATCCCGCCGTGGCTCGATTGGCACAAACATAGCGATATATCGATGGGAGTTGCGTCGGTATCACGCGGGTTTGTCCTGGTGGATCCGATAGATCGGAAAATCTATTCAAAAGCTCGTCGCGCGAGCGGCGTATCTCGTAAGCGGGGATCGTGTAATATTACTTGGTAAACGCCAGCGGGCGGACGGACATAGGACCCAGGCGGAAGGGACGGGGGCGAGGTACACAGGATGGAGGGAAGGGGAACGGGGGGAAATTTGCAAGAAACTACATTTACGGAGTTCGTTCCGGAACATTGACCCGCGGGGGGAAGGAAGGGAACATCGCGGTGGAAGCCGCGCTCGGAGGTGTTCCGGGAGACCGCAGCGGCACAACAGCGGCAGCGTTTTTTCTTTTCTGGCGTAGCAAGAACCTAAACGCTCCTCTAAACGCTCTTCTCTCGCTCCTCGTTTCATGCTCCGGCGACGGACAGGGACGGTGCGCGCAACGCGATCCTTTTATTTCTGCCGGTTTATTGGACGTAAGGACGAAGGACCTAGTCGTTCGTGGGAAGGAACGGTGCGGTTTCTTTCCGCTTGGACGAAGGAAGAACGGAGAGCAGAGAGAGACAGAGCGAGAGACGGTGAGGAACTTCCTTTCTACCTCGAAAGGAGCCACAAAGAATATCGAGCCCTTCCCCTCTTTCCCTTCTCACCCGAGACCCGTGCAACTCCCGACACACAGGAAGTCCACTTTGACATTGTTCGTAGACTATCGACTGCGCTCGCAAAAAGTTGCCGCGTTCTCCGGCAAGCGAGGCTCGAGGGATTTTTCCAAAAAGACTCGCTGGTACATGCATCACGGCGATCTCGTAAGTAATACTACGTAAGTAATACCCGATTATTTTGTAAGGTGCGATGAGATTTGATGAGACGAAACGAGTGGAATTTAGCCTCTCGAGTAGTTTCTCAGATGACGTTCCTGTCAGGAGCAATTAACGGATCCCCATCAAATTTTATGAGGTGGTCCACAAATGTGCTTTATTTAAATAATACTTATCAGACCTGACTGTCTTTCTTTAGATCTCGATTGGTACATCCTTTGATTCCTTTAATCCTTAAAATTTCCATTAGAAACTTTATGAACAACTTTTCGTACAACTATATATATATTTATTATTATAATCTTTTTTAATATAAATTTGTAATGTTCACTAGTTACAAAAACAGAAAAGTATCAATGCTTCAAAATTTATTCGCGATCGTTTGAATCATGTACGTCATTTTGTAGAGTATACTTTTAAAAAGTACAAAATTTTTAATCCATACTATTTTCATTTTTTTTTTATTAATAAAACGATCATACATCGATTCATTCTTTCTCTGTCTCTTTGACCGTCTAGGGGATTACGACCTGATACGCTTTCCTCGAACGATCTCGAAATTGAATCGCTTTCATCGTATTATCAATAATAACGATACAGTGCGCTACGCGTGAAAAAATTTCAGATCGATTGGATTCGCCTTCTCGTATCGCTTCGGGAAAACGAAAGGCGATCGTTTCTCCGCGGTGAAATCTGGGCGTCGGCGTCTAGATAAGGGTAAGAGAAAAAGGAACGAAGAAGAAACGGGCGAGAGGAGGAGGGTGAGAGGTGAGGAGGGGGGAGGGAGGGAGGGAGAGGGGAAAGATCGAAGGAGGTAAATTGCCCCGAGATATTTAATCCCGCGGAAAGGCCGAGGGATCTCTCCTTTATTGGCTCGGCGAGTGAGCAACGACGGGCGAGATAAGTTTCCCGTCGGATCGATGGCCAATCGCGTTAAGCGATTTTCGCGCCTCGTTATCCTTTGTTTCCATCCGGTGGACGGTCGACTGCGTCTCGTCGACGACGGCACGGTGTCTACGGGCGATGCTCCTTCGTCTTTCGTGACATCGTGAGGATCGATCTTATATCGCGTCTCGCGCGCGCGTTTCTCTCTGTCCTTCCTCCTCTCGCTTCCATCGTCTACGCGAAGAATCGCCGACTTTCACATTCCTCAATGCCAGAGGGAAATTACCGAGGGGTAAACTGCGTTACGGTAGGAGCGACTTCTCTGTACGAGACTTTCGACGACGACGAAAATAGCGGAAACGATTTTCAATTGAGATACCCCCTCCCCCCTCCCCCCACGCAACTTTGTATACTCTTGAAATCGCTTTTCTCTCACGTGCACACGTGTACATATTTTTGTGATGTTACGAATTAATTAGATGTCTAGAAGAAGACAGAAAACGATCTTTGAAACAACTTGTAAAATTATGTAACTATTTACATGCAAAATCATTATTGTAAAATGTAGCGGAGATTCATTGATGGATCTGTATTTCAATAATTCTTAAAAGCTCAATACTACTCGAGAGAAAGAAGAATCTTTCGTATAAAAAGTTCTTTAACTCTATACGAAATAATACGAATAGTACAATTCAATTTGTGATTAAAATCTTCTAATTTATCAAAAAAACTATTTAATTCCCGATATCAAATATTTCAGAATTGTTCTATTATTAAAATTTGTTTTGTTTTACAAATAATCTAGTTCAAAGTGCAACTCCAAACGCTAATATCATCATCACACGTCTATTAAAATTCCTGCGACCATAATTCTACCATGAATCGCACGAAGAGAGGATGAAATGAAGATAAGGATAGCAGCGAGACGACTTCGCTTCGACATCATTGTCGTCAACACCGTCGTCGTCGTCGTCGTCGTCGTCGTCGTCGTCGTCGTCGTCGTCGTCGTCGTCATCGTCGTCGTCGTCGTCGTCCTCGTCCTTGTTGCTGCTGTTTTCATCCACCAACTCCGTTGACACGGAGGAGCCTGAATTAAACTCCATTTTCATAGAGCGTGCGCATCGCGATTGAATTGCCACCCGCTTGGCTTTTCGCGCCAAGTGCTTTCGGAAATTAAGCGACATTGTGCCTTAACGAATGGGATTCATGCGAATGCGGCCTACGTCCTCCTGCCGAACGGTCCGGAAAATTCGCCCACCAAGACGCAAGAATGGAAGAAAAGTGGCAGCGACCCGGTTGCATCCCCGGATGCGGAGGGGTCGGGGATCAATTTCAGGGTTCGTTTACAGTCCTTTCGAGAATAACAGCAGCCTCAGCGTGAGGCACCCACCTTCACAAAATTACCATAAAATTAACACTTTTAAGCCTCTTAATGACAAAGGAATTTGGGAATTCCGAGTTTATTTTGTCTGTGGAAAAAGTTGAGTGCTATTTAATTTCAAATTGAAATAAATCTTTAAATACCAATCCATTTTAAATAATTATTTAAAACTTCGGAAATGTATTACTTGTATTTTTCTTCATAAAAACTTATTAATTAAAAAAGAATTGCTATTTACACACATTTATACGTTTCTTCCATTGAATATTCCATTATAAAATAATTAACTATATCTATATAACTATGTTTTCTTTTTTTAAATATGACATCTTAAAATTCAATTTTGTGTGTTTCATATACTATTCATTGGTTCTATTATTTGTACTGATTTTTGCAAAATATTCGTATTCGGTCGACATCGTGTTCCGTCGGTGGAGCAATTCACGCCGCTGGCAATTCGTTATATTATAATTCTCCATAAAGAAGCCATGGCGGCAAATTTATAAGAGAAAACGAGAAAGTTAATACAAAAGACGTGCAAAGAGGGCACAAAAGTGGGATTTTGCGTCGGGAACGGCCGGAGGGGCGAATATTCCTCCTCCAAAGGCAAGGCGTTATTGCTCCGGTGGCGAGTTCATGGCGGTTAATGGTGGTGGTGGTTTACGGCGGTGGCCACGGCGGTACCGCCGGTCTCGTACCAAGCAATATCTGGTCAGTCACGTAGACTGACCTCAGCACCGGAGCAATAACGACGCCCGTCTGGACGTTTCTCCGCCGCTGTCATCGCGTACGTGGAAGGACGGCGAGCGAAGAAGGCTGCTGTCGGTGGTGGTCACCACGGCGTTCTTTCCTTCGGGTGGCATTAGGCACGTTACTTCAATGTAACGCGGTCGAAAGAACGAACGTGCGGTCTTTTCGCCGATCGAGATAAGTTTTACGTGAAGGCAAGCGTGTCCGAATCGATTATTTTTTTTAGCGAGTGGTAAAATGCCGCAATAGATGATATACCTCGATACAATTATTATAATCAATCCCTCGTAACGCCAGTGTGACTTGGAAGTTTCATATTTTTTTAAATCTCAAATCTGATTTGCACCAATCATATTCTTTTTCACAAGCAAAAAATTCAAATTATAGAGAATTAAATTTGGGATTCATTGTAAATTATTATTACTCCCGCAAGAAATTAATATTTCAAAAAGAAAATATTAGAAACTAAAAAAATTACGCTTCTTTTAATAATAAATCTGTGAAATTTTAATGAAAGAAGTGTGATAATATCTTTTTCTGTCTTCCAAAAACCCAAGATTTATGTAAATAATAGTAAATTTAATGTAAATTAATAGTTACATACTAATGCATTCATTTATGTTAATTTATCTCATTTGTATTCTCTTTCTGGAATAATGCTACATTCTATTTCAAATTGTAACAATTGTTACTTGCACATATAGGTGAAACAATAAATATTACATGTCTCTTAAGATATCATCAGTGTACTATTTTATTTAACCTAACATTTTACATCGACATATTTTTTTTGTTAGCATGTAATTATTACATGTATATATAATTACCACATGTTTATATAAAATTTCAAATTTTTACGCCATAATAAAATGACTTTTTCATTGATAAATAAACGATAGAAATATGTAGTGCACTCACCGTACATCTTCCCTTCGTCGGAAAGGATGATTTTGCGTCGACCGCATGGCGGATATATGGTAAGAGCTTCCTGAAAGCTCTGTTCGATATCCGGCGACCATACACCTTCCGCGTCCGCTGCCGACAGATCCTTCTCGTCCTGGAAAATACGATCATCTAATCTACTATAGTCGAAGAAAAGCGAATTGCAATTACCGTACGCCGCTTGTAATCACGCGTCTGTAATTTTCATAAAGCCTCAAGAAAACTCTGATTAAG